GAGAGAGAGAGAGAGAGAGAGAGAGAGAGCACCAGCGACAAGCGAAGCCGGTTCTCGCAAATTTAACCGTCAGCACACGACCCTCTTTTCCCTCCATCTCCTGTTCGGGCGCGTAAGCTCGTAATTTATTGCTCTGCTATATAGATCTTTAACGAGTCGCGTTAATGCTGCCGCCGCTGCTGTTGGCGGCGGCGCGGGCGAGTAATGGCGAGCCGATTTTGTTAAACATTATTAAAGTCGTTAAACTCGCTCGATCCGAGCGTTATTGTGTCCGGTGACAAAGAGGCATTGGGGCACTGGTTCGCCCCGCCGAGTTAGTTACGATCGTGGGTGTTCGATCGTTGCCGCAGGTTCCAATCTGAAGAATGGAACTCCCGTGCCACCTCCGAGGCGAAAGAAGACAAACAGGGGCAGACCACTGCCACCGAAGCCGGACGAGATTCCTGAGGACGTAACCACCAATTTGAGACGCGGCGATACGAGCGAGGAACCGTTACACCTGTCGGTCAAGCAGCCGAAGACGACGAGCGGCGACGATCGGAACGGCGATGTCGAGACGCGAGAATCGGCCAAGATCAATGCAGAAGATGCGAAGCATGAAGGGCGAAGGGCCAGGGAGGTCTACGAACATAAGGCAAGTCGGTCGCTTTGCCAGAAGTGAAGTTTCTCGTGCTACCGACAACGAAGAGCACGCTTAGCAAATTATAATAATGAAATTGAGCTCTAGGGGATAAGAGAAATTATGAAATATTTATTCAATCCAAAACTTTTGATCCATTCTTTCGATTATTTAACGAAAACGATATGTTTGCAAAATGATACTCTCAATCGAACGAGCAGACCTGTAAAATAGTTTGAACACTTTCCTTTTACTCCAACAATCCATAAACGTGAAATTAACGTGACAAAATCAAGAAAAGGTAAAAGGAAAACTGCATGTCGCATTAATTTTAGTAATATTTAGTGATTATACGATACGAATAAGAGAAAAATATCCAGACTAGTTTGCAAGTCTGCTTGATCGATCCAAGTGTCATTTTATGAGTGTATCTTTTAATTTCACATTTTTTGCAAACATTTTTAGCGTGCATTTTTTCGCTTCTGACGTCATCAATTAAGAGTTCCGCGGCGAGGAATCAGGAGCCATTAAGCAATCTCATTTGTTCAGAAATATTGCCGGATAGATCCGCCTTTGCAAACTTATATATCCGAATCCATGCATTGGAGTAAGAACACACGCGTGCTGACAGGAAGCAAGCTAATCTGGAATTCTTCGCGACTTCGATAACGAAAGTAATGACTTCCCCGACAGGTTAACGGCACCGGAAGGATAATATCCAGCGACGTGGTTTCCGGCAAGCGAACGTCCGCCGACAAGAAAACTTCGAGAACTTCGGAGCCAGGCCACCATCACAGGAAAGTTCTCGAGAACGAGGAATACGAGAGATTCGCCAGGAGCGAGTCGATCAAGGGCTCTTCGACTCCTAATCGCCAGGACAGACGGAAGTCGAAGGAGCTCGAGAAGCGGATCAGGGATCCCCCGAGGGACGACGACAGAACGGAAGCAAATACAAGGACGAAGAACTACAGCACCGTTAGCTTGCCGAATTACGACGAGTTGGACGTGTCTAGGCATCCTGCGAAAAGTACGAAGGACGAGAGAAGCGCGGGCGAGAAAATGAAGTCGAAGAGACCCATCAGAAGCAGTACCGGCTCGCTTCCGGCCGAATCTTTCCTGTCGCCCTTCTCCGAGGTTCAGTATTATAATTCCCCTGTCGTATTTTATCAATCAAACGCGGAAATTCGTGTGAATCCACACAGGAAATCCGCGAAAAACGCGCCTTAGTCCACGAGAACGTCGCGCAAATAAATCCACGCAAGTTTCGTTGACTGAGAGACCCGAGAAACCGTTGATCCGAGATAAAAAATATATCTGATAAATGAGAGAGAGAGAGAGAGAGAGAGAGAGAGAAATACTTATTCGGTGAGTATTTATTTTCTCTTTCGGTGCAAAATCTAACTTCAAAGGAAATTTCGGAACGCAGGTGCGCGATAGAGTGTTTCTGAGATAATTTTGCGATTGGACTCGAAATCGAATTTCGATCTGTGCTTTCTTGTTTCTTTTATTCAAGCGAGACACCCGACACCACCCGCTTTTGCCTTGAATTGTCGATTTTCGGATAGGCATGGACGCGCGAGAGTAGCCGTTATCTCTTGGACTTTCTCCAGAGGCATTTCCTTCTTCTTGACCTTTTCTTCCCTCTTAAGTAATGATCACACTCGCGCTCGTCTCGATTGCAGAAAACTAGCGTACGCCTCGAAGATTACATACCGCGGCGCGGCAGCGTCGAGCATCTGTCGCCGTATCAGGTGCTGGGTAAGCTGGGCTGCAGCGAGAACGAGGTCACCGACGGCGGATTCATGAAGTACGATCCGAGTAAATTGGAGGATTGGGACCTCAGCGACATCAGTAATTGCGACCCGAACCGGCGTCTCTCCATCGAGGTACGTTTACAACGCGGAGCTGCGTTGAAATCGATATTAAGCTGACGCGCCGCGGCGCGCCGTTTTTCCGACGGGAAAACCAATCGCGCCGGAAAACGCGAGATTTCTATCTCTCGGCTTCCGGATCGAAGACACCTACGAATTTGCACGCGTCAGTGAGAAAAATTGCGATTTTTGCGCTTTTCAATCTTTCGCGCGCGATGCTTCCCTACGAAGGCAGTAACGGATCTACTTTTCGTATCCGATGAGGAGCACAACGAATGGGTATAGTTGCGAGCCGCTGCTTACGAGATTGCGTAGAAACCAGCTTTCAGAGATGTTGAAATGGCAGTAGAAAGTGTGTAAGCTCTTTATTACACTCTCATTTGATAGATAACAATATAATAAGGATGTTTCCCTTCCGTTACAATTCTCGTTTTGTATAATCGAATTTCCTTGTAAATAGTAAATTAAATAAATAAATAAATGTATTATCTACGGGAAAATACTCTTTATACAAAACGAGAATTGTACAATGAAAGATTTAAAAAAAAAATACAAGTATCTTTATTATATTTTTATCTGAACTGTGGAGTACAAATAATTCGAACATAAATATTCTGCAACGATACTAGGATAGCATACTAAAACTAATTACACAAGCTCCTTGGTTCATCAAAAATACTGAAGTGCACGAGAGGTACTTGCAGATGCCTACAATCAGAGAAGAAATCAGAACAAGAAGCTCAAAATACTGTCAAAAATTGATTAACCATCCAAATCAATTAGCAAAAACCCTACTTAACGACAAAAGACAAATAAAAAGGTTGAAAAGATATATACTGAAACTATCAAATCGATAGTTGGACACATAATGGGATGACGATCGTGGGATTGTTCCACCTAACAAGTCAATTTGCTAACAACAAACCTGTTTATAGTTAATGCTGATTGTAGATACCATCTAGGAACAAAAAAAAGAAAAAATATTTTTATCCGTCAAGCAAGAGTGCAATAAAGAGGCGCTTAATAATGTTCACACTACTGTTACACTTCAGCTCCTGTCAAAACCGATTGCTACGCAAGTAGTGATTGTCGCAATTGCGACTGTTTGATACAATCCAAACTTCATCGGAAGAAATAAATCGTTTCGCGAACGAATGTATCTGTAAGAGCTTCACCCATATTATCCACGCGACCCACAATCGATTGAGAGAGGAATCGTCTCAAAAAGAAAGACGCGTTCACTCGCCCGTTCGTATATCCCTATGCTTGAATTTCAGAACTTGCCGCGAATCGAAATCCATAACGACGAGACTACGGAGAAGGGGCTCTCTAAGGGAGTGGATGTTGTGGACCATTCGCGAAACGCCGAGATCGGGGAAGCTGAGACGATCGAGGCCGAGGTTCCGTGCATTCCTCGAGATATGACTTCATCATTGCAGAAGCCTGAATCTTTCGGCATGACGCCGTCGCCGATACTCGATTTCGATAAAGAACCCGACGATTGGCTCGCGGATCAAAGCAGGTATTGAGATCGAGATGGAGATCGATATACTTGACGCGAAATTGTGTCACCCGAGAGGTTCACACACATAACGTTAACGAGAATTTGTTTCTTCTTTTTTTGTTAGATCGTTAAAGTACTTCGATCCACCTACGATGTCGGAGTTTCATCAAGCGTCACCAATCTGCGACTTAGCGACGTCGCCAGCTCGCAGGGAGCCATTTTTTCTGAACGAGGAGCTCCATCGCTCGGCTTTGGGTAAATCGACAATCTATTAAAATAATATAAAAATCAGGTGTGAAAAGATATTACAAAAATACTATAAGCCTTCGATGAGCGCATTGAAAGATCCTAAATTCGGTTTTCTCGACGAAAGTCCAATTGATAATCCCCCACTATCGAGAGAAATCTTGGTTGCGAAAAAAAAGAACTTAACGCGTTCGCTACCACGGCTTATTTGCGGAATTTTCTCCACAGACCACGTTATACCTGTGATCGTGTAATTTTATAGAATAGAATTGGTCTGTGTTTATACGTGGATACACAAAGAAAAATTGTAGCTATCCTACACATGTGACGTTGGTAGTTTAACGTGTTAAGTGAAATCGAAAATTTGGAGTAAAGGTGACAAATCGAAGTGACAGATCGGTGCACGCGTGACGTATCGGTAGCGAACGTGTTAACTATCTTCAGCCTGGTAATACGATCCTAATCGATTTGGTCGATGGATATGCCCCGAAATTTCATAGAATCCTGCGACTTTGCGCGCGCAATCTCGTTGCGATCTCTCCGCGCTCGTAAGTCCGGTGAAATCCAATGAAAACGGCGCGAGAGACGATGTCGGGCTGCGGAAGAAGTGACGACGAGTGAAATTCCTCTCCCTATTTACAAGAAATCGTCGGCTATGTAAACTGAATATACGTCCGACCGCTCGATGAGGGAGACAGAGAGAGAAAGAGCGCGCGCGCGCGCGCCTCCCTCTCTCTGTACGTACTTATCCGCTCTCGGATTCTATCCTGGTCGGGTAATCGTCTGGAGTGTAGAAGGTATCCAACTATTCGCGTACGTGACTAGTTAAACCGCGGACGTTCCATTTGGCAGATACGATCGGCGGGTCCTGCAGGAACGGCGCCGTCGCCCGGGAATCCGATCGATCCGACCAATCGAGGCTGATCTTCGGCCGTAGCTTGTCGAACGAGAGCGAGCCCTACGACGATCCGTACGAGTCGAAGGAGTTGCGTGCACATTCCGACGTAACGAACAAGTTAATCAGAACGATATCGGAGGAGTCGCTACCGCGGGAGATGCTGGAGGGGGTCGACGACGAGGAGATCGTCGACTTCTTCGACGAGAAGCTGGTCAAGGATACGACCAACAAATTGAAGAAGGATTGTCAGGATCAGCGAGTGAAGACGCCACCGCCGAGCCCCGAGCCGAAGATCAAAGCTCAGATCTTGGATAATGATCATTCGACCTTACTGAAGGTGCTGAATGACGAGGCGGCCGAAGGGAGTAATCTCAGCTCGATGACGCCGAGTCTCACCGAGCTGGAAGCGGCACTCTCGGACATGTTGGAGAAGGAGGATCAGCCCGACGAAATTACCAAGCGAGAGGGGAACGCCGACGGCAAGCCGGCCCTGAGCCCCGTGGAGAAGCTCCTCGAGCCGGAAATCGTGCCCGTGGAGAAGCGCAATGCGATCGATACACCTGTGATGGATCAACATCGTTCAGCGAGCGATGATGACATTCTAGTCGATAGGACGCCCGAGCATAAGACGGACCGGCTGTCGGTGTCGTTGGAGCAGATACTCGGCGATACGGGGTCAACGCCGAAAACGAGGAAAGTGTCGTTTTGCACCTGGGACGACAAGCCTATGATGGAGATCGACCTGGCAAACGGCGGAGTGCCCGAAGCGCGCGCGAGTACGCACGGCGCGGCGAGTCCCGACCCGAAGGACTCCATCGTCCAATCGACGCTCGAATCAAGCTCGGACTTCTTCTGCAGTTTCATCGAGGATATCGGCCCTACGACCAAGGGCAACGCGAGCTTGATCGGAGACGCGCCCGAGAAACCCGTCAGATTGTTTCAGAATCTGGAGGACGTGGCGAAGGCTTTCGACGAGCACGTGCCCACGCCGCCGCGCAGGAGAAACAGGAGTTCGGGCGCTACAAAGGAGCTCATCGAAACCGTGCAAAGTTATCCCGAGGACCCCGACCCACGTCCCAACGACAGACTCATTTAGTCTAACCCCGGGGGGGTCGCGCGATCCTGTAATCTTCCTTCCGCTGCTATATGCGACGACACACGGATAACACGATCCCAAAAAGTTGTGTGCCACGCGAATTGTTGACGCGTTTAATCCATTAATTCGTAATCCCCGTAGGCTTATAACAGGCGTGCTATTAATATAGAGAGAAAAAAAAAGAAAAGAACAACAAGATGTACAATGAGTGCATTGTCACGTGAACTCGAGCTTCTTTTAACGCAAGTTTAACAAGAATATCGCTGCGTCGCGGACGCACTATGATTTTGTGTTCCACTAGAGTTCCTCAATGTTAAAACATCGTCTTCCATTTGTAGGGAGAGAGCGAGTGAGTGAGTAAGTGAATGAGAAAGTAAGTGAAAGAAAAACGTGCTTTATTATTTCGTCTTAAAGCTTCTCTCTCATTCCAACTAAAGTTCTTCACTTACATAACCCTTAAAAATGGCGGACAAGATACAGACCAATCAGGAATCATCATGCTTTGTCCTGACTTTAGGAACTTTAGGTACCACCATATTGTACGGATTGTCGTGAAGTTACACAGTGTAAATCTTGGAATTGTATCGGATTATCGATAAAATACAGATAAATGAACTCTTCTGAGGAGAAGAAATCAAAGTAAGAAAATCAAGTACAAAGGACGCAAGGTGTTTCCCGCTGATGACGAGCGTGCTCTGATTTTGCGCGCCGCGACACTACGTCGGGAAAATGGGATTTGAAAAATATTTTCCGTGTCGTTGAGAAGAGAAATCAAATTGCTCCGTAGATCACGCGGAGGGGCAAATGTTTTCCCATGCGAGCATAACCAGGAGAACAAATAACGCGAGATCTCTGCGAATTCTTGGCGAATGTACACGTCCTGTGTTGACGTTACATATTCTCTCCGACCATTTTCCTGCATACGATAGTTAAGTGCATCCGGATAATCTTGGATACACTCGGGGGAAGTCACGAAAATTCCCTTTTTCGGGAATTTTCCTCTTTATGTCTCTCATTATTCATTTGAACTCCTCTTCCAACGGACGCATGCTGTCGAAATTCACATGGTTCGCAGAATACCGTACAATTATTTTGCTTTTGTGTTCTTCTCAATTAACGTCGTCGCATTAAGAAAAAATATTTGAAAATTTATTTGTAGGATGTAAAATTTATTTTAATGAGGAAATAATGGTTAAACGTGAAATACTAGAAAATAAAAAAAGCTGCTGAAATTTTCATTTCAGCGAAATAAAGTTTATTTCAGTGGAGAATAAAATTTATTTCACCGAGGAATAAACTTTATATCCCACAAATAAATATTGAAATATTTTTTTCTCAGTGCACGTCGTCTCATTTATGGTGACACTTAATTTTCCAAGTTTATCTCGGCTTCGTTATAAATTACTGTCACAATCTCTCCGAATATATATCCAAATTGTTTCTAATTGGAAAAGTTAGGAACGTCATTACGGAGTCTTAGAAAAAAAGCTCGTCGCGAGACACCGTTCACATATATGACACAAATCGGCCCGGCTTTTAATCTTCGCGGGTCAGCATGCAGGGCATGATCCGCGATGAGAAGTTGTCGAAGAAGAAGAAGAAGAAGAAAGAGAAGACGCGGATGGCACAGAAGTGAAAGACGAAGTTTCTCATTATGGGCAAGCTTTGTGCGAGGACTCGTGTCGCACTTTAATCTCGTTCGCGTTTGAGGAACCAAGTTCTTGTAACATACTGTACGTATAGCGCGCATCAACTTCGCGACAAGTTGTCTAATAATTATCGTTGTATAGTCGTGACTACTGTTGTGTGCGAGTTTCAGCTTGGAAGCGAACGAAATAAAGAACATTACGCAACAACTCTCGTCATTTGCCTCTGTCCTACGTTCTGCCACGTACAATCGCTTTGTGGATCCCATTTGTTGGGAGGTTCCATTGCTCATTCACTAGCAAAAGATCGTTTAACCCTTTGCAGCGCAGTGACACATGTCACCTTTCTTTACACAGTCTTTTACGATTTCTACATATTTTTCAATGAGCCAGAACGACTTCAATGGTCATTATTGATGTACTAGAAATTTAAGTGTGCGATTAAAGTGCGCACATTTTGGCTTATTGAAAAATATGTAAAAATTATAAAATATTGTGTAAAGAAAGGTGATACATATGAGTACGTCATTATGCCGCAAAAGACTAACGCAATGAACGAAACGATAAGAGACAGTGAGACGATAAAATGGCAGCCGTGCCGAGCTATCGAACACCGGCAGAATTCGGAGCTGCACACTCGAATTCTTCGTGTAATTTGTTGCGCTTCCGTTGTTATTAGAGTTATTACACTCGCGAGATACGACAGCTAGCGCCGACGGCCTGAGCTTTCCTCGATATCGGGGAAACTCTATCCGCGCGGGGAAGATTGATTTTTCGTTTGCGTCATTATTTCATCGGTAGGCTGTCAAACCGTGTTTAAGACGCGCCCCGTTCCTCTGCTTCCGTTTCGAGCCAGGTATCCGCTTACTCATTAACTTTTTTAATTATCTACCGCCGACGAAACCCCTTCTTCACGTTGCGCGCTTCACGGACCGACCTTAATCGTCTTAAAGACCCGTTATGTTACCGCGAGGAACTAGATGGAGCCTTCCTTACTGTAATGCAGGTATCACGTGCACGACTTACTTTTTGCACATCTCAAGATCGAGCTAATCGACGCGAAATGTTGGATCCTCAAGGGAAATTGACACAATCATGATCGAGAAAAATTGAGTAAAAAGGAGGGCACGTATTGTCGCAAGGAGTAAGAATGAATAAAGAGTCAAGGAGAGCTCGAACGAGCTCGAACGAGTCTTATATCCTAATCTTTGCGCTTTTAGAAATCCCGTATCACGAGTTCCGTGAGCGGCCTGAGAAGTTGAAGAGCTTCCGAGAGACGACAAATCTGGGAAAACTGTGGTCCGAACGCTCTCGTGTTCCCGATGCGGTTTGAAATTAGCACGAACGGATTATAAGACCGGGCTGCTCGTGACACTTCTATTAGTGGCGCGGAAGGAAGACGGAGGAAAATTCATCTCTCTCCCTCTTTCTTTCTGTCTGTCTCTCTCTCTCTGTTTCTCCCTCTTTCGTTCTTCCTCTTCCACTTCTTTCATCATAAAGTCGGTGCGCGTGCGGCCCGCTTCCTCCTGACGTGATGCATCTTGCAGGAACTTATTTTCGCTGCGCCTTTCTCGATTCCGGCTCCGTCAGGATAACCCCACTAGCTACTAACCTCGTTTTTCCGCGTACTTTTGCATTCGGAGCAAACGAGAAAAGCGAAAAAGACGCGACGGAAAAGGGAAAAATCACGGGGCAACGCAATGAAGAGCCGACGATGAAAGATCCCCTACGATGCACCAAGAAACACCGGCGGGAATAAATTTGGAATCGTAAATTACGATGCTATCTCCCGCACGAGATCGAGGATCTCGGAACTAATCGGAATAACAGCGTGGCTCTCCAATTGGGTAGTTCACGCGAACGGCTTGCGAGAATCGGCCGGCCGACGCGGAACTCGGTTCGAAAGCCGTCGTAGAATATTTTTTGCCGCGGCTTACTTGCGGATGCACACAATACACGAGGCGATACGCAGCCAAGTCAACTGCCACGATAAGGACGAGACGATGTGACACTTTGTCGAGAGGACTTAAGCTTAATCTCGAACGAGGTAAGTCCGTCTTAGGGTGTACTTAGAGTAAGGTGCGACCCGAGCGGAGAGACACTCTCCGAGTAGGTATCTCTTCCGGAATATCTGGTATCGCGCGACGCCTCCCTATCCAATAGCTTGCGTTTCTAGGTACGCCAAAGTACGTGGCAGCTAGTCGAAGAATTCGCACGAGAACGTACCGAGACCCCGAATCCTACGACTAGAGTTCCTCTAATCAGAGTTGGGATGAAGCTTGATGATTCCGGATTGGTCTGCATCCTGTCCGCAATTTTTAGAGATGACGTGAGTGGAAGTGAAAAAGAAACTCTGATAAAAAGAGAGAGAGGAGCTCTAAAACTGCAATGATAAAGCATGCTGTAACTTCTCTCTCTTCTTTTCTCTCTTTTTCTCTCTCACTCATTCACTCACTTACTTTCTCCCTACAAGTGGCGGACGGTGTCCCAACTCTGAATTGAGGAACTCTACCTACGACGAATGCGAAACGAGGAGATCGAACGGAGAAGAAATTCTCATGTGATAGGCGAAATCTCCGCGAAGATAAATCGGCCAACGTGGAAAGAATACGCCCAAAAAAAATGGAATCTTATTCTTAGCGGAAATCCTCTCTTATATGTGGCCTCAAGAGGATTTTTCTGAAACCGAAAAGAAAATATTCCTATCCTCTAGAGTACCCTATTAAGATCATATACAGGGTGAGTCAGTAATTATTGCTACTTTGAATATTTTTGAATCAAAAGACAAAGGTGATCTTATAATCTTCGAAGTTATTTTTTTTCAGACAAAAGCACAATTATGGTGAGGAGCTTTTTTCCAAGTAGAATAGTTTCGAAAAAATTATCTTTGTTTTTTGCTTCGAAGATATTCAAGGTAGTAACAGTTATATATTGACTTACTCTGTATAAGAGTATCTCCACTAAAAATAAGATTATTTTTTTTTAAGTGCACGTATCATGCACACACATACAGCGAGTTGACCTTTGATCGAAGATTTCATCAGCGGGATGCATAATTTATATTTTTTTAATATCTGATATTTTTAAAAAATGTCCAAGAGTTACAGCCCTGATCGTACCGTCAAGCTATCGTTACCGTTTTATCGGAAATCGCTTATCGGAATCGATCACCGCACATCGACACCTTGAAATTTGGGGCTCGAGATATGAAAGATCGGCTATCCGAAGTCTTCGGGATCCCGGCCGACGTGCTTAAAACGCGAATGGCGGTTTTAGTCCTACCTTCGTTAATCGCGGAGTGGTCGATACGACTTTGGATCTCCGGCCGCCCCGCCGAGGTATACCCCGCGCGCATAAAAGGGGTTAAGCGAGCAGCATGAGTCAGCTTTAAGCGACCAGATTTATGGACTACGACAACTATTTAGATAGGCGGGACAAAGAGCCCCGGCGATCTCTCTCGGTTTTTGTCTGGAGGAGGTCTAGGCGTATCGGCGAGTCCGACCTCCTCGGCGACTTTCGTGCGCACGAATGCGCCG